TACTCTAAGTCACAAGAAAGCATTGTAACTCAGCAGCAGCACCGCAGTGTCCCCGCTCCTTATGTTTGCATGAAATAATACGCTATTGTCCAGAGAAGGGGAAGTATGGCGCTCACCTGTGTGCAGGTTGCGGACGAGTTCAAACATATTGAGGAACCGACCACCAAGCAACATTTTGCACCCAAGAATTGCACTGATTCACCTTCTTAATCCTATATATATATATATATATATATATATATATATATCGCAACGGTCCAAAAATGGGACATGGGCCATTGTAAAACCATCGAAATCAAAAAGAAGTATAATTTGATCCAAAACATAGCCAACTATACATTGTACTTTTCACACGCCGTTTTTTGTTGTTTTAACTGTTTTATGGATTAAAAAGGTGAATCAGTGCAATCCTACATATATTTCTTCCATTAGTTACAGCTGCGCTTCATAGCTTCAAGCGTGTAAAGCCCCTGCCACTTTTCATCCTTGAGTCCCCATCCTGGAAGATGCACGGGTCTAATGGCGGCTAGACGCAACGTAAGCGATTACATTGCTGTCTCGGCAAGTGAAAGGCTTTACATCAAGCGGTCTCATTCAGCCCGGTCCTTGACGAGCGAATAGAGCTCGACGTGATAAACGCTCAGGCGCCATACGTAGGACATCATTCAGCCATCTCAAATGGCAAAACAAAAGCAGTTTGTTGAAGCGAATACTCGCATTCCTCAAGACGCGACGTCGAACGTCATCACTGTGAACTCAGTGTTATCACCGCACATGAGCGATCCAACTCAGAAAACCCTTGTCGAAGACAGAAAGGCGACGCTTGTATTCCCAGGCGAATTGGCCAGGACTCGTCCCATACAACAAGACTGAACGAACAGAGGCACTGTAAATGTGGTTCTTTATGAGAATGAGACGTCACAACGACTTCACAATTGCCTCAGATTGACAACTGCTGATCGGGTCTTGGCGATGTGGAAAAAAACTTCATTGCTGAAAGTGCAGCCAGCAAAAGTGCAGCCGCCAAGGTAGACGAGACTATTTACCTGTTCAAGTTCTGCACCTTCAAGAATGAGCAACGGAGTAGGTATAGGCCAATCCTGGAACAGCACTTTACAGTTCGAGGGGGCGAAACTCATGCTGTGCTTAGACGCTTCAGCCGCCAAACCATCCTGAATGTTACAGAGGAGTAGTAGGGGGAGCTGAATGGTATACGTAAAAATTCTTCACATCTAGACTCACTCAGACAGCCGTCACACGCCCGGAAAAGAACTGTACGTGCTTTTCATCCTTTCGGAAATCGTCTAGAAGTGACGAATTTCTACCTATACCATTCAACTCCCCCTACTACTCTTCCGTAATCAGTACGCAGACCAAACTGCTTATAATACCATAAGTTAATTGGCGGCTTAAGTTTGGTAATCTCGTCGCTTGGTGAGGGGGCTACCCTGTCCTCTGCACGGCAGTAACGTGTAAGTCAGTGGATAGTGAGCGGCGCTATATCACATCTAGTAACTTATTCACGATGGTCGTTGCCGTCCCACGTAGCTCAGTGTTCTCAACCACGGACTGGCAACAGTCGAGTTGCGAGTTCGAGCCCTACCAGGGTCCGATGGAATGCGCACTGCTGACGATTCCCGAAAGGATGAAACGCGCGTACAGTGCTTTTCCGGGCGTGTGACGGCTGTCTGAGTGAGTCTAGATGTGACGAATTTCTACCTATACGATTATGAATGTATTGCATACCTTGTGGATGGTCATCAAGTAAGGCGATATCAGCATAATCTAAGTCGGTCGCGCACTCACTCGGTAGAAGTAGTAGGATAACTTTTTGGAAACCTTCTAGAGCTCTTGACAGGATGTCCTCGATTATAAAATTAAAGAGGAATAGGGCAGCCCTGTCGCACGTCGCAATTGACAGCGAAGAGCGAGGAAAGCTTACCGTAGACCCTCACTCTGCCGGAGCTATGGAGGCAAAGTGCACGTGAGATGGCGGTATATGTTACTGGCACCCTGCTATTCAACAATCAAAGCCATAAAGCAGGTCGATCAAAGGAGTCAACTGCGGTCTGTGTGTTTAGGAATGCAACGATAGTGGGCCTGTGGTAACTGTGGTGGTGTTCGAGATGTTGGCTGAGTGTGAAAATTTAATCCACGCATCCACGACCGGAAGGGAAAGCAGCTTGTTCTTTACGGTGGTAGGATTCACTTATTGGAATAGTCAACGAAGCAGAATAGATTCTAATAGCTTGGAGGTGACCAAAGTGCGACTAGTATCTCGATTGTTTACACATGAAGTGCGAGGGTCTTTGTTGAAAAGCGGGACGATAACTGATTCGCCCCATGCGGAAGACAATTTTTATTCGTGCCAGATTTTTGTGAACAACGAAGGCAGCCGGTTAGGGATTGCCACGCCACCGCCTGAGCCGGTAGCCATGGATCGCTTCAAGCGTCGGATCTCGAGGCCAACCTCCACTTTGGTGGATGGATTCAGTTGAACGAACCAAGGTAGGCAACAGGGTGTACTATGTGCATGGATGGACGGTTGAGGCCAGTTGATCTGCGAGTGAAATAGCTCGGTCCAAAGGTCCAAACGCCTCTGTTGGTTGGTGATCGGTGACCCATCAGCCTCGCAAATAGCTTCACTTACATCAGACCCCCTGAGGCCAGTGGACCGAATGAGTTGGAGAAGCTTGCGAGTATTGCCAGAGAGGACAGCGGTCTGCATCTCCATAAAGCCTTATGATTCTTGTGTAGGCTTTGTTTGAACTACCGATTGGCAGATCTGCGCCATTCGTTGTTATCTGATTCTACCGGGATATCTCTGCCGCAGTCTAACAGCTCCAGAGAGCGAGGAAAGATCCAAGCCTTTAAGAGCCATCCAGTAAGGCTGCAGCTTGACCGTCCGGAAGTGTTTAGCGCCTTCTGTACACAAGTCCAATGTTGCTCTATGTCTTGCGGCTTATTGCAACTGAATGCTTATGCCAGTGAAGACTGGCAGCTCGTCTGGAGCGAGAAATCAATTGATCTGTTCGCAGCAATTTTGCGGTGCTTCGCTGTTGGGGACCTCTCAAAACACATGCAGATTTTCTCGCAGACCAGCACAAGATTTGAGCCAGCGAAGGTGGACCAAAAAGACTTGTAGTCCCTTAAGCTGCCCGCCATCTGAAGCTGCTTGCGATTTGATCAATTTGAGACCACGCTTGTATTGGCAAAAGTGGGGCGCCAAAATGCGGGACGCTTCTTCGTATGCCTGAAGTTTTTGCTCGAAAGAAACAGATGGTTTGCTTCACACAATGTGAGAAGTCTCTCTCCGTTATCAGAGCGGTTCCCATCGACAGCGTGCTGACCACCAAGGTGGCGTTCGTATGGTAAAAGGCAGCCAAACCGTGCATTGAAATCCCCAGCGAAGATAACGATATAGGAATTCTTATCAATACTCAAGGGTTGCTGAAACTCCCGATAAAAGTCGTACTTGATCGAGCCACTAATGTAAACAGTCAGTGTGCGCGGAGATCACAAACAAGTTGCGTCTCTTCTCGCAGCGCCTGCTTATTCTACATGAAACCCGAAGCCGAACGGCACACAGTCGGCTGTTACTCGGCCTCGGCCTTGCCACTTAGTGCTATACCTACACCAACCAAAGCCGTTAAGGCTCTTCTGGGTTACACCTAGCTTCGTGATTAGTGGGGGATATCAGCGTAAGCAAACTGCATCGGGTTTCCAAAAGGTAACAGATGTCAGCATCGAGGAACTTCATAGTGCGCGCAAGACTGGATTATTGTCTAATCTACATGCGTATCCGTATGTTGAAGCAAGCCAGACGGAACTAGAATCAGGATTGAAGGAGAGCCACGGGTTGAACTCTATGGTTCGCGGTGCAACGGAAATCGCAAGCAGATCCATGAACAAAGTAATCAGGTAACAAGCATGGTTAACGTACGAACAATTGGCATGTGATGGTGTCGTATGAGTTTGAGAAGCGGAAACAATAAGAGACAAGCACTGTATAGAACAGCCCACTTTGTTGTGGTTAACTACGTTAAAGCAGAAAGATGTGCTCACTAAGTAAAAATATACCATAATGTGAATGAAAGCCATGTGAAAATAAGGATGAAGCGCCTTAATTAAAAACTGTCTGGTTAGATTACCCAGACAGGATTGCCAATGCTACCGTTCGAACCCACCTGCGCATATGAGATTGTTCAATTCCGGGCTGTTGTCCGCATACACGGAACCCAATGCACCACCGCAATCGCGAAAATCTCTTGCAGGCGGGGGTGAAGGAAGTGGACTGGAGGCTTTGATTTTATCCTCCGGAAAAGTGCAACTATCGGGACTGGCAGTACTCCGGGGCATCCACCCAGTCAACTCACGAATTCCGTGAAATTTGCTGAGTAGAAAGGCCTGCGAATCACCAACGCTAGCCACAATGAGGGCGAACTGGCGCGGATGCAAAGAGCTTGTGGAAGAGGTGGGGGAACGGGAGCCAGATGTGCTTGATGTGGGACTTGGTTGCGAATCTTCCATCACTGGGAGTATTAAAGCAACGCATAGTGTGGTAAGGCCGGTCGTGCACTTGACAATCAGATCTTGAGCAGCGGAAAATGTTTCGAACAGCAGCTGTGCAGCTTCCTAATAGATAGCAGAGAGTGGGCTATGAGGGATAGAATAATATGTTATGAATTGAACATGAAGGTCTCACGAACAACACCCAAACAAGCACATTGGATGGTGGACAAAAGAGCTTTCCGTATTCCTATTCACAGCGAAAAATAAGTTTCCAACTGATACAGGAAGACAGTCTGTCTGCGTTGGAGGAGAATAGTTTAGTTCGGACTTTGCTATGAAAGTTGCGCCGCTATTCTTCATTTTATGTTCAATCGATACACTGCGCAGGTGAAAACCTGCTAGCCAGAGGCAACTTAAAATACAGAGGTACTCTTAACTACCTCAGATTAAATCTACTTACTGGTTAGTAAAGGAAAGGTGGTGTCGTGAAGTGTTGAATCGAAATCCCAGTTTCCACCTGGTTAGTAAATCCCAAGTTGCGCGGCCAGTCTTTCTGTTATGAATTGGGAAAAGCCCTTAGTACATTGGTACAACAGTGTTTCCACGCTAGCCATCTGGAGACACTCACTCTCATAGTTTAAACTATAGGAGGATCGTACTTCAGCCAATGTAAGATGTGCGAAGCTTACATGTGTCACGGCCGACCTGGAGTGTAGAACATGGAAGAATGACTTCTTCGTCCAACATAATTTAGGATGATGAACTACCGGGTAGGTTGGTAGTAACCCTTCCCCAAGCAGAAGTGAGGTGTGTCTAATCCTCCACTCAAATAGACTTGCACCCTATTAGCCACGTATACGAAGTATAAATCCAGGGAGATAGAACCAGGAGTCACGGGATAAGATGATTAATTATTTCGCATGCTGGCCCATCTATGAGTAAATCAATCCAAATAAAGTACGTCCGAAGGCATGACTAAGCCCAGAGTTCACAGCTGTGGCGACACCAAGGGAACAAGCTGATGACGAAGAAGTGCAGAACGATTGTCAGTTTGCTTGTCTTGGCTTTTATCTTAACAATGGATATTTGGTTAATGAAACTGTTACACGCATTGCAAAACTACAGCTGTCAGTATCAACAAACTACGATATCTATGAAACCATGAAGAATTGCGCTTAGTTGCAAAGGTTGTGTGTACAGGACCACAGTGAATCCGTTCTCACCCGCCGCAGTGCATTATATTCCCTTCAGGCTGTTGGTGTAAGGCGTGTTTAGGCCTTTTACCATTCCTCCCTTCGGTGTACCACAAGCAATGTGGGGTGTGCGTAATTGTGAGGCACGTAGGTGAATGAAAGGTGACAATGGGCATTTCAGTTTATTCAATCAACAAACTATAGTGAATTACTTGCATTAGTTTGCGCACTTGCCATGTATGAATGGCCGTATTACTTCACTCGAACGTTTTGTTACAGTACTGCTTACCTTGCCATAAACTTCTCCTTCTTGTTATTGCCATAAAACGCTGGAGCACTTCTGAAAGATGCTTAGAAACCAACTTAAACAGTTTGAACAACTGTCCTGTGCACTTCCGCTGCAGGAATGGATCGGTCCATGTAGTGGACTGTATCTGGCTTGCCGAACTACCTCGTGGTGCCAGCTGGGTGGTTCGGGTGTACCCCGTTCCAGCAAAGTGTTCGGCAACAATGTTCCACCTCCGTTGGGCATTGCATTCCAGCAATTGTGCTGACTTAATGGGGAGTATTTGGCCCCTGTTTGGTAATCTACCAAACAAAGACGCATGAACTGATCATTCAGTCAACGCCTCCCAATGGGCGCGATTCCCTAAATTCGCCCCGCTGTCTTGCGGGTAGGTTATTTAGCCAAAGGCTCGGGGTGGAGTCCCCTAAGTCAACCCAATACTACGTCTTGGGCAACCGGGTAGTATCACGCCCTCTCGCAAAACCATGGACTGTATTACAACGTGCTCATCAGCTACTGTTTCTGCTAGTCACTTTCACGCGACTTCATCACACGCCAATTGTTTGTTTGCTAACAATCCTCACTTTCCGTTACCCGATTCATGTGTTCAACAATCTGGCTGCGATTCCGGTTGCGCCGCAGACCAATTTCGGGCTGGCTAGCTGTGGGGTACTCGTAATAAAAGATACTCGGAGCGAAGGCGTAAAATCGACAAAGCGTCAAGAGCACGGACCATGGAGCTGGGCAATTAAGCGGTGGGACGACCCAGACAATGGGCAATTAGACGGTGAAAATGTAGTACATTTATGAGAAAAGAATTGATATTTTGAAAAACTGGTCAATAAAGCGGGGTGGGCTATGAACCGGGTGGACAATAAAGCGGGTTCCATTGTATAACACATGTGCCTGTTGGAGGAGAGACAGCAATCAGCAAAACATGTAGTTCCCGAACAGTACGATTCTTCACGGAGGGTCGCGAGCAGATTTAGTGCATCGAGAAATTTCGTTCTCACGCCATACACTTATCACGCTGACAAAGTGAGCTTATATGTCACGATGATAGGTTAAATATCGCAAGATGGTTACCTGTACCATTTCCGTGGATCCCACTTCCCAGCTGCATATTGCAATGATACTTCCCTCTCATAGTACATAAACGGATCACCGTTGTATTTGTGCACTAGTGCTTGTGGCTTGCACCCTAACAAAATACGAGACTTGACAAGCACTCTCTTCATTGCCTGTGCTAGTATATTATTCCCTGTAGGTGTCCGCCGCAAAGATATCCCGGCGGAATCAGATTGCAACGAGCGGCGCCGTTCTGCCAACCGGCTGCTCAAGCAAAGCCTACGCAAGGGTAGCGAGACATGGTGGTCTGAGCGTGCTTTAGAGATGGAGACCGCTGCCCTCTCTGGCAACACTCGCAGGCTTTTCCAACTCATCCGGTCCACTGGCCACAGGAAACCTGGTGTCAGTGAGGTCATTTGTGAGGTGGATGAGTCTCCGATCACCAACCAACAGAGGCGTATGGACCGTTGGGCCGAGCACTTTCACTCGCAGTTCAACTGGCCTCCACCATCCATCAGTACATGCAGTACGCGTTGTTGTCCACCCTGGCTCGTCCCTCTGAATCCACCCAGCGAAGCGAAAGTCTGCCTCGAGATTCGACGCTTGAAGCGCTTCAAGACTGCCGGCTTAGACGGACTTCCTCCGGAACTATTCAAGTACGACGGTGTGGCGATCATCAACCAGCTGACCGCGATGTTCGCAAAAATTTGGCATGAAGAGAAAGTGCCTTCCTCTTGGGGCGAATCAGTCATTATCCCGATTTTCAAGAAAGGCGCTCGCACTTCATGTGCAAATCATCGCGGGATTAGTCTTATTTCGGTTGCCTCTAAGCTATTAGCATCCATACTGCTTCGCAGACTATCCCCAGTACGTGAATCATACTACCGTGAAGAACAAGCTGGTTTCCGTCCTGGCCGCGGATGCGTGGATCAAATCTTCACGCTCCGCCAGCTCCTCGAACATCGCCACATTTATCACAGGCCCACTATCATTGCATTTCTAGACATACATGCCGCTTTTGACTCCGTTGGTCGACTTGCTTTATGGCGTTGCTTACTAAAGAACGGGGTGCCAGAGAAATATACCGCCATCTTACGAGCACTTTACCTTCATACATCCGGCAGAGTGAGGGTCTATGGCAAGCTTTCCTCGCAATTCACTGTCAATAGCGGTGTGCGACAGGGCTGCCCTATGTCCCCATTCCTCTTCAACTTCGCAATCGAAGACCTTCTGTCCAATGCTATAGAAGGTTACCAACATTTTGGCTTAGAGCTTCTACCGGGTGAGCGCGCGACCGATTTAGCTTATGCTGACGATATCGCCTTACTTGGTGACCATTCTCAGAGTATGCAACTCATTCTGGATCGTTCGGCGGTTGAAGCATCTAAGTATGGCATGAGCTTCGCCCCATCGAAGTGTAAAATACTGCTCAAGGATTGGCTTTCACCTGCTCCCGTACTCACTCTCGAAGGTGCACAACTTGAACAGGTAGATAGTTTCGTCTACCTTGGGAGCTGTGTTTCTGCTGACGGCACTATCAACAAAGAAGTTTCTCTTCGTATCACTAAAGCTCGATCAGCATTTGTTAATTTGAAGCGTTTGTGGAGTCGTCGAGACGTCTCATTCTCACTAAAGGGCCGCGTTTACAGCGCATCAGTTCGCTCAATAGTGTTGGATGGGTGCGAGTCCTGGCCGATTCCCGTGGAAGACATGCGTCGTCTTTCTGCCTTCGATAACAGTTGCTTAAGGAGGATCGCTCGTGTTTGGTGGCAACATCGAGTTAATAGTAATGACGTTCGACGTCGCATCTTGGGGAATGCGAGTATTCCCTTCAAAAAACTGGTTTTGTTGCGCCAGTTGAGATGTTTCGGTCACGTCCTACGCATGGCACCTGAGCGTCTACCGCGTCACGCTCTATTCGCTCGTCAAGGACCTGGCTGGAGGCAAGCGCGTGGTGGTCAGCCTTCCACTTGGCGGCAGCACATGAAATCGCTGATGTCGTGTCTAGCCGCTGTTGGATGCGTACGTCTTCGAGGATGGAGACCCAAAGATGAGGAGTGCCATTGGCTTAGCACTCTAGAAGATATGGCCCGCAACCAGAATCAATGGAAGAATTGTGTACAGTATTGTAATGATTCACACGTTTAATACTACAAACATTAAAATGACAAAAAAGAACAAAAGCTGCGTGTGAAAAACAAACTAAAAATGTTTTGTTCTGCTTTTTATCAAAATGTTCCATTCTTCCTGCGGCATATTAGTTGAAGTGTGTTGCTCACCTTCAATTAGTATGCCACGATGATTATGACGCAATGAATCTTGCTTATCTGTGATCTCCATGGTTTTATGCTGGCTCTGTGTCCAGTTAATAGACTGTTGAGAATACATATATACATACAATTCCGAGCTGGCCCTCACGCAGTTAGCAGGCCTCAAGGTCACCGGTCCATCGTGACTCGTTTGAATCTGTT